ACTGAAAAATCATCCCATTTTGGATACAGCAGTGGGAACTGAACAGGACGCCTCTTGCACAGGCTCCTCATTGCAAAGGAAGATCCATAATTAGCATTCCACCTCCTTGCTGTCCACAGCAAGATTGTCATGTCTGCACTGGGAAGTACTGGGCAGATGGAAACCACAGAGATTCCCATGTCCAAGTGTTCTTGTAGTATCTGGTTATTCTTGGGAGCCCTATTGGAAAATATTGCAATTCCTTCACCACTAAAGACAGTCCATCTGGGGAAGTGCACACTGCTGCCTCTCCAGCTGGTATCACAGTGTGCAGCCTGCTACAAGATACACACATCACAGGCATTCCCTAGGATATTTTTTGACCTATTCCTGCTTTTCTTAAAGGGGAAATCTGGTATAAGATGTTTAGTGTGCAAAATCTTGTTCTTGAGAATTAGGAAGCACCCAGGATAAAGATTCCTCTACATTTTTAGTCTATTTTGTCCTATACATCTTTTACATGATCTTCTGATAAGGATAACATGCTTTTCAGCAGGGTGTGTGTCCTCTCTTGCAGCTCATAATACATGGGGCACAAGAAACAAACTGCAAGTGAATGAAAATCTTGACAACAAGATTTGTCAAGTGCTCCAGCACATGCCTGTCTTTATAATTGGGTGTCCTCCTCTCCCACTCCATCCTGAGAGAAGCAGTACCAAGATAACCTCCTGTGAGCTAGCAAGGGAATCACCACAAGAGAAGGGATATTTTGTGGGATTTGCCATTCCATGCTGCCCTGGGGAACCAGGCCAGCTTCAGTCTGCTACGGAGCTGCCCCGAGCAGCAGAGCAGCACACAGGAGAACCAGCTGTGCTTCCCACTCCTGGGCTGCACTTAGAGCACCTAAAACTCCCTTTGTAAAAGTGCTGAGTGTTCACAACAATGAGGTCCATCATCTAATTACAGAAAGTATTTACTAAAAAAAAACCAAAAAAAAAACCAAAAGAATTTGGGTACTATGGATGAAAATTAGTGATAGGACATATAAAATCACTGGTTCCTTTGGACAATTTCAGCTTTAGTCTTTGATGGCATTTCCCCCTCCAGTATCCACACAAGGAGGAGGATACCACCTCATTTCACAGCATTTCACTGACATTTGTGGAGCATTCAGTCCCTGCAGTGATCAGTGCCACAGCGTGAGGAGTTCAACAGTTCTTTATTCAGCACAGGGTATGGACGGAGTGTCGCAGATAGGGCACAGGGTGACACATTGTATGAGGAGGATAAGAATATTGAATAGCTGCTCATTCACTACACAACATCCATCTTGTGCCCTGAATGGAGTACCAGCTCTGTGGAAGAAAATACAATGTAAACCATACAAAACAGTCTTTAATTATACGGCAGGCAGGGGCTCACCATGCAGCACACACACAGAGGGTGACTGTGGTCAGTCTTCACACTGCTATTTCCCAGCTTTTTAAAGTGTGTTTTTCTTTTATATAATATATTTCCACATAAAAACTTTCCATTTGCATACCCTATATTCATATTTGCACCAGCATAAATATTTCTGCTAAAACATTTTTACTGAAGCACTGATGTAGGGAAGATTCAGAATAGTTGTTATTTTATAAGCTGTAGTTTAATATAAATATTTAGGGTGACAAGTGCATATATTTCTATTTGTATATTGGAATCTGAAGTTCCTTTTCAAGATGGGAATAAGCTACAAGTACTTTGTACATAGGCAAGAGTTCAGCCTGAGAGAGTGAAAAAGCCAAGTACACAGAGATTGGCAAAGCACTGAGAGGGGACCAGCCCAAGCTCACTGTCTTATAGCAAGACAGATTCATACTTTCAAGTCTCTAAAAGAAAAAAAAATAGAGGAAAACCCACATTATTGTCACAAGAAGAAAGCACATGGGTAATAGGAATGTTTTATGACAAAGTTTAAAATCTTTTCCCCCATAACCACAGACTTTCACTTTTAGAGCCAGGATTGTTCTCCAACAATAAAACAACCCCACGCAATGAAAAATCACCTCCTATTCCCAGTAGTATCCCTGAACTCACACTATGCTGCCAACATAACAGTGATTATAATCTTGAAGTTGTGACTTGTATAGTTCACTAAACAAAACCCAGTAAGATTACACCTGGTTGAGCATTTCACAAAAACAAAGCGAAAAACCTCCCACTGCTCTGCTGCCAGTACAAAGTCAGATTATTGCCTCCAAAACAGAGCAGATGCAAGATCTTTGCTCTACTGAAATTAAGAGACATTCCAGGGCTTGGGATGCTATCTTATACAGCAGTGGTGATGAAAAAAGCACTGAAAAATTATTAAAGAAACATCAATCAATTAACAGCATAAAGGTGTCCATTGAGTAACTGCACTGCACACCCCTGAGCAGACATAAAATTATGAACTTGTCCTTCTGAAAAAAGGAACTACAATGTGGGAACATAAGTATCAGGCGTCTGAAGAGCATAAACTCAGTGATACTCTGAGTAACAGATGTGTAAGTTACACACTCACTACAACACCAAACCACACAGCATGGGCACAGAGACTTGTGCTCTGCCTGTGTCCTGCACAGCCCAGCCATAGGAAGGAACACTCCACCATTCTCAGCACAGCCCTTGGAAGTGCACGAGCTACTGCAGCCACATGATAAAAATAATTCAGCCTTGGGGACAGGACAGACCTGAAGCATCAGAGCAGTTTTCATCTAAAATGTTACTCTCAGAGAAAGAGCTGGCAGTCCCTTTGCTGTCCGTGTCAGCAATGCACCCCTACGGGAGCATGTCAGCCTAAAAATTTGGAACACAAGTGAGAAACTCTAAGTATCTACTGCAGCTTTTGCCATTGAGCTTCAGCACAAGCGAGGAGACACACCTGGCTCTGCAAATTTTCCCCACCCTAATTCCATTCCTTAGAGGAAGACTCAGCTGCAGCTTTAAATCCCAGCTGGATGCTCCTGGCCCCTGCATTCAACATCACCCTCCTGCTCAATTTGTGTGTACAATCCCTAAGCAATCTCAGCACAGACACACTCAGCTGTGGCAGCAATACCTGCTGATGTACATGAAGGATCACCAAATGTACCCCAAACTTCACATTCCAGTTTAGAAACAGAAAATCCTCAAAGCAACAGTGAGAGTGGGATGCAGGGGAGAAGCAGCAAGGGAAGGAAGCTAACTGGAAAACTGACAGTCCCTGTGCAAGGAGCAGGGAAATGGGTCTCTAAGGCATCCCAAGATTTACAAGAGGGCCAAAAAGTGACTTCCTGCTATTCAACTCCAGGCTGAAATGTAATAAACGACTGCCAGCATAACACTGACTCATATCCATCAGATTTATAAATCAGTATTTTGACAAAGAAAGCTCTGTTGGCTTCACCATAGACAACTCTAAACCACTCAGATGTGTTGTTCAACCCACTCAGTGTTCAATGTCATTGCAGCAAGACCCAGCTCTTTATTAAAAACCAGGCAACTGAAATACTGCCTGTAGCCTTTATGACTTAAAGGCTTGCAGATTAACATCAAAACTAGCCCTGCTGTTGGATTTTTTTTCTGACTTATTTAATCTACAAAGGAAGAAAAGTTCTCATGGCTCCTCCTTCACACACTTGTTCACTACAGAACAGACTGGAAATACATTAAAACACCAAATGATAACACACCTACAGGTATGGGGTGCTTGAAAGGAATGCACGTTGGGTAGAGGTGTGATTCCTTACCAACAGTCACAGCAATGAGCTTTACTCTTCCCACAAGTGTTGCTCAACCCCCTTCCCATGAGGAGGGACACCTTCATGAACAGATTTGCATCAGTATAGCTGCAACCACATCAAAAGAAGCTCTGCTTCTGGAATAGAAACTTTTACCACCAAGATGCAGAAAACAAGGTCCAATATTGTTTTCTTAAGCTCCTTAAAATTCTGCTTCTCTATTACAGGCTGCAAACACACACCAATATGAATAAGGCCAAATTTTGCTATTTATGCCCTGCAGAACCACATGCACTCCAAGCATGAGAGGCGCTAAAGTTATTTGTGAACATTTGAAAATATTCTCTGCTATTCCAAGATGCTCAGGGTAACCTGTATTCCATCTGCATTGCACTGGGAGGCAGAGGAGTGGGAACATTTCCAGCCTCTTTCGACTTACCTGAAGGCCAATACATGACTTTCTAAGCCTGTTTGGGTTGGGGTCGTGTACTACACAAGCTCAGACATCACACAACTGCATAATTAAAGTGCCTTTCCATAGAGCACCCCTCGGGAAGGCAATGCCGGTGCTGTCACCGTGCAGGAGCATCCCTGCCCGTGAGCCCTGCGCAGTCCAGGGCAGGGACGAGCTGCCATGCAGGGAACAAGAGCTGGAGCAGGGGGCAGCGCCGGATGGACCCGCACAGCCCGAGAGGCTGCATCTCCCCGCCGTGCATTCGGGGGGGAGGCGGAGCGGACAACGGCAAATCACTCCCGCAGACGGAAAACTCGGGCTTCCTCCTAACGGGGGAGCCTAAACGGGAGAGCCGCCCCCGCTGCTGCCGCGGTCCCTCTGCATGGCTCCGTGTGAGCAGCCAGCGTGGGGACAGCGTGGGGACAGCGTGGGGACAGCGTGGGGACAGCGTGGGGACAGGCGGCCCCGTGCTGGCGCCGAGCATCACCTGGGATGCGGCTGCTCCTGGCCTCGGGCCGGCCATCGGCTCCTACCGCACACTGCAGCGGGCGCGGCCGGGCACGGAACCCCCCAGCGCCGGTACCCCGGGCCGGGCACGGCAAATCCCGGCCCCGTTCCCCCCGCGCTGCCGCTGCCCCCCGAGCCCCCGGAGCGCCCGCCCGGCGCCGCCGCCACGTGCGCGCCCGCCCCGCCCCGGTGCCCCGCGGCCACCGCCCCCTGCTCCCGCCCGGGCACCGGCGGCGGCCTCGGCCCCGCACCGGCCGGGCCCCGCACCTGCCGGGCCCCGCACCTGCCGGGCCCCGCACCTGCCGCGCCCCGCTCACCCAGCAGCAGCAGCCGGTGCGTCTGCTTGTACTCGCGCTTCTCCGCCTTCAGCGTCTTGTCGATGCTCTTGCTCCGCTTCTTGTCCGCCCGCTCCTTGGCCACCAGGTCCTGCCGCAGCCGGTGCCGCACCTGCGGGTCCCCGTGCTCCGCCGGCGCGGGGGTGTCCGGCTCGCCGCGGCTGCCGTAGGGCGCGGAGGGGTGCGCGGCGGCCAGGCGGGAGCGCAGGCTGTAGCACAGCCCCATGGTGCCGGAGCCACCCGCCCTACGCGGGCATCGCTCTCCGCCGGGGCGGGCAGGGCGAGGCGGCGGCGCCCGGCGGCCTCTTAAAGCGGCCCCGCTCGGCCGGCGGAGCGCGGTCCCGGCCCGGCCCGCCCTCCCGGCCGGTCCCGCGCCGCGGCCGGCGGGAGCGGCCGCACGTGATGCGGACATGGTTACCGTATTCTCTGGAAAGCGCCGGCCCGCGGGGGTCGCGCCGCAGCGCCCGGGCCGGCGGGACCCGCGGGCTCCCCGCCCGCCCCGCGGGTCAGCGCTGCCCGCGGCCCCGGCCAGCGCAGCCGGCGCTGGTTGGCGTTTCAGCCTGGCTTTTGCCAGGTCGGGACCTGAGCCGACATCCCGTCGTGAGGATGCTGCGGTGCCAGGGAGAGCCCTGTCTTAGTTTGGACGCTGCGCCTGAGCTCCTCACGCAACACCTGAGCCCGCTGGACAGAAGGACACTAAGACCTGTGCCATTTTCATGCCCCATTTTTAATTCACTTCCTGCCGCACACATATTTGTCAGTGACTTCTTGTTATTTTCTACCAGTGCTGTCATCCAGTGCAGAAGTAACTGATGAACTTCTTCTGGAGGCACCACATCTGCCTTCTGACAACAAACTTCACGTTTAGCTTCTCAGTTCTCTCAATTTACCTGGCCTGGGGTGGTGGTGCTGATTGTGGCTGTACCCCCTTCCCTGGCAGCATGGGCTGTGCACAGCACTGCCAGCTTTGTCATGCTGTATTTTGTACTCATCTCCGGCCAGCTCTGAGCATTCACTTATGAGATGACTAATGCTCTCTGGGGCCTGGCCACACATCCTGCACTCTGGAATTGAAGCTTTCCAATCAGCTCTCTATGCTGTAGCCTTTCCTCAGCAAACAGCCCGTGTGGTTCTCACTGAAATCTCCATTTCTCCTCTCGGCGCTTGCTCACAAGTTAGGTGTCTTCTTGATGCAAATTTCTCATTCAAAATCTCCTGCAATTGGTACAACAATTAGTAAGTGAAAGAATGAAATCCCTACACAGCGGGGAAGTTCACTTTGCACATCACTGCTAGCCCAGGATTTGACAGCAGTTGCTGCCTGTTGCAGGAATAAATCCATCTCACATCAGGCTCAAGATGCCCACATGACTCATTCTGCCTCCACTGTTGTAATGCCTTTTCCTCTGGGGCCCAGAGTTCGTTCTGATGAACACACCCCTGAGAATGTAATATAACAAGAAAATGTAAAGGTCAGCCTAGAAGATTATTAGTAGTTTTCTTTCTCTTCCTCTTCTTTTTAGAGAGACACTGAGACGAGACAAATCTTGTACTTACTGACAGGACAATTCTTTGAAACAGGCTGGTTTGTGGGGATCTGTGCTTGTGCCACCTGCCAAAAGGAAAGGGAACTCTCTTGAGGACTGTGAAGAAAACAAACAAACAAATCCAAAAACTAAAACAACAAACTAGTAGGAACAATCAGCCTATAAATTAGTTCTCCTGACTCTGGGGGTAGGCAAGCAGAGTTTTCCTGCTGGTGCAATTCACAGCAAGACAAGTTTAAGGTTTTGGTTTGGTTACTCTGTCTTGGTTTGGTTACTCTGTCTTGGTTTGGTTACTCTGAAAACTTTGCCAGTGCAGGTGACAAGTTCAGCAAAGCACACCAAGCCCACCTTGGCTGTAATGTCCATCCTCTGAAGGAGAAATTTGAAAATGAAGTCATTCCAAAGTGGAAAACAGACTTTCCCTCATCCTATTATTCCAAACCCCTAGAATAACTCATAAAGCTTACCAATTACTTGTTTCAGGAAATCAGAAATTTTACATCCTGCTGTAGCCCTGGCTGTGGCCCTGGCTATAGTTACAGCATAGATGTAGTTACTAAAATTCCAGCTGTTAGCAATGCCAGGCACAATTCATCACTGCTTACACCAGTTTTAATTAGTGGCCAAAAGTGACAGCAAGGGTAAAGTCACATGTTTCACCTGGGTGAAGGCTGCATGACACAGACTGACAGCTTTTTGAAATCACACACAGTTTCAGAGATAGAAGAGGAAATTACTTTCAAGATCTGCCTTTCCCTGACTCTCAGGAAGGAGGAAGGGGATAGAGAATTGTCTTTTCCAGAACACTGGGCTGCAGATCTCTGCATTTTTATTCTGTTGTTTCTACCACCTACAACGGTGGGAAAAAATGAAGAGGTTAAAAAGCAGAATGGGCCATCTGGTAATATAAAAAATATTAAGGAAGAAAAGAGGCAACAACTGTGAGACTGCAGCATTAAAAGTAGAGACTTGGACACACAAGCAAAAAACCTTGGATGAACACTAGGAAACACGACAGCAAGAGAAATGTCAATGAGTAAAATTTGCATTTATTTGTACCTTGGGAGGGAAAATAACCGATTGAAATCAGTTGCTGTTAGAGCAAGTGGTCCATATGTGCAAGCCTCATTTCTTGGTGCAGAGCAGCACGTGTCAGCCCTGCTGCTGGCACTGCCCTGCCACAGGCAGCCGCTCTCTGGGCCCCAGTTTGCACTCAGCTTTTCCAGTGTAGGTGGCTGTAGCCTGGCACGGTGGTTAAAGACATCTGAGTAAAGGCTTAGCTCCTGAAATGGCCCCTGAGACTGCTGTGCACATCTGGCTGGAGCAACAAAGGAGGCTGAGCACCCCTAAAAATAATTCGTGCTACCCAGTTACATAACAAGGCTTTTAGGGCATAAGGAGAGGAATCTACATTTGTGGGATTTGCTCAGTGTTTATGTGACTGGACTCCCACTACAGCCTGTGAGAGTTTCCCATTAATTTTAGCTGAAGAAGATTCTATCTGGTCTTTGCTTTTAGCTCTTTCCTTCACTTAACTCTTATTTTGTTGTCATTTCTCTGTTTCCTGCATCGTAGTTTAGGTCAAAAATGGTGACCAGGTGCCTAATTTCAGTCCTTGATTCCTAAATTATTGTTAAAGTATCAATCTAAGCTGTTAATTTTCTATCTGCTTTCTAAAAGAGTCTGAGAATCAAGAGCTACTGATACCTATAACCACAAAGCCACCATCACTTCACTACCCTCATCACATGTAGATGGCCCTGGGGAGGGGACAGTGTCCTGGTCTAAATGCCAGGCTGACTGACACCCTTCAGTCCATCTCGGTTCCCATCAGCCACAGGGAGAGGTCCAGGGCTCCAGGAGCAAAGCTCTGCACTTCACTGTGTGTGGTGTGTAGCTGAGTAGATAAACATCCAACTTATTAATATTCTGATTTACTTTGTGCAGATTTGAGATTTCCATGCGATCTTTCATTCCCTGACCTAGCATTTGTCTTCTCTCTGGTCCTGACACTGCAGTGAGGGATAGAATACCAGGCACAGAGCCAGCCACTGCCACCATCCAAACTCTAAAGTACAAACTTTCCACTCTCAAATACAATAAAACTTGCCACCTTTCCCCTTGGCTATCTTAATGACTGGTTTTCCCCTGACTATCTCGGTTTGTGGCTTCATGCCCCAGTTGCCTTCAGGAATATCAAAATACTTTCACTTTTTTCCCCCCAGTAACAGACCATGAGCGAGTTTCCCTAGGGAGGCCTTCTCTGTCCTAGAGCTGTCACTTAAAAACACATTTATGGCAAAAGATGAAACCCCATTGTTAAATTCCCTCCATTCAGACATCACTTAAGCAGATGACAGAGCCAATCCCACTGATTTTACTGGGCTTTAAGCACAAATCTGGCATCAACTTTCCACAGAAGAGGTGCCCCGAGCTGGGCTAGAAAGCCACTGGGATTGCACTTGTGAAAACAGCAAAGCAATATTTTGATAAAGCAGCTTATTTCCATTTCTTAACTGCTTTTCCTACAGCCTGCAGATACTTCCTGCTTCCCCTCTGTCCCTCTCCAGCAGATAAAGGGACACATTTTGTTGTTGAGATCATTGCGGCACCCTCAGCAAGCCGAGGTTGTCATGGGACTCCCTGCACAAACAGAGCAGGTTTTCAAGGATAATACACAGCAAAAATGAGCAGTCTTGTTCTGTCAACAAAAATCCGCGTGTTTATAAGGACCCTCGAACGTGTTTTTAAAAATACTCGGGCGGGTATTTTTAGCTGTGCGAGCCCGTGCAGCTGCCCTAAGACACCGAGACTGCTCCGGGCGCCGCTCTCCCCCTCGCCCCGGTACCCCGGGCGGCGGAGCTCCCACCGGGATGTTCCTGCGGGAGCAGAGCCCCGAGCAGAGCTCGGCCCGTGTTGTTCAGGCTGCACTGACATCTGTCGGCTCTTATCGAGCCGGCTAGGAAAAAACAAGCCCGTGTGGTTTCACGCCCGGAGATAGCGCCCGCGGCAGCAGCGAGGGACGGGCGGGCGATAAGGGACGGGCAGACAGCAAGGGCGAGCGGGCTTTGGAAAGCCCAGCTGGCAATGACCGTGTTCCCTGCGGACAGGCGATTCCCAGCCATCGTCCTTCCCGCTCCCGGCCGCCCCGCTGTCCCGCCTTGCCGGAGGATGAAGCTGAAGCCAGCCCGTGCTGCTCCACTGCGAGCGCGTTCCCCGGTCCGTGTGACTAATTAAAGCAGTAGGGCACGAACACTCATTTCTGAATCAGTGTGTGAGAGCATCACACAGCCTTGTGGAAAAAGCAAGTGAGCTCCGAGCGAAGCGTTTCGGTTGAAGTAGCAAACTCTTACTCAGATGTACAATTTGGATAACATAACTGCATGTTTAGTATAATAAGCAGAGAACAACTGTACGTCCTGGAGTCCAGCCAGCATCCTGCTTTGGTTAAAAGCCCCTGCTGCAAACCCTGTCTCGTATGTCAGCGCTCTTATTCACGGAATTAACACGAGGCTGAGCTGAAGTGGGTGACAGGGCCACACGCTGCTCCGCCAGCCTTTGGGACGGAGCAGTTACCGACCTCTGCCTGGAGTGACTAAAAGCTGAACTGGGGCAAGTCCCAAGCCTGACTCTGCAGCCCAAAGGGCTTTCTGAGAAACCCTCTGCAAACGTGGGGCCCAGCTGGTTTGGGCACTGATGGTCCCCACAATGAGCAAAAGAAAGGGCAGGC